GCAAAACATGTGGCGCCATGTTCACCAACTCTGGAAATTTAATCGTGCACCTGAGGAGTCTGAACCATGAAGCATCAGAGCTAGCAAACTACTTCCAGAGCAGGTGAGGTGCACAAGGAAAACCCAACCAGGAAAACTGCTTTCTGAACTCTCTTCCTGCTTTTAGGGCAGCCTGCTGTGGTTTTCTTTTTATCAGGTTGCCAGCTAATCAGTGACATTCACTTTTAATTCCCACTATTCATACTTTGATCTCCAGATCTGTAACAGTTTTGCTCTCCTATTAAGTATATATATAGTTAAATAAACATAGCTAATAATCTTTTCCCACAAAAAATAAGAAAATACGTACATAGATTCCTACAGAAAAAAACTGCTTATCCTCTTGAATTTTTAAAATTATATAAGGTTAAAGAAAGTGTAGATTTCATTGGAAAGTATAGCATATGAGGTGATACTTAGTAATATATACCCTGGCTGATACTAAAATTCTTGACCACTTCCCTTTTTTTAATCCTGTAAAGGGATATCCACTTACCTAGATTGAAGGTGCTCCTATTGTTTCCTTTGCTATAGAGCTCAATTAACATGAATAGTTTGTAGTAGTTTCTGATTTATAGGTTATCCCAAAACTATCAGGTTTTAGTTCTAACTTTGTTACTAACTTGTTGATTGAGCCATGTCAGTTTGCAGGCAAGGTTCAGAACAAGCCAAAGATCAATTATAAGCTTTAAGAAGATGCCGTGTAAGGCCTCAATCCTTTGTAAGAATCACATCTTGCTAGGAATCCTTAGTTTCTCATAAAATGGATTTTTTTTCTAAATGCTTACATTGTAATTTATTTTTATTTTTAAAGCCTTATTTTTCAAGAAATTTCTAATCATTCCTGCATAGATTTCATTTTTCCCATCAAACCAAGCATTCATTTTGTTTTAGTCATTTCTAATTCTGAATGTGTGGTTGTCCTATCACTAAACCATATTAAGTATAGTTGTTCAGGACTAAGATAATGTTCAGATAACAACTCCTGTGTTTGTGTCTTTCCTGTGCAAAGCTCTGTATCCTGTATTCTTTTTGCTTAATTCTGAGGACATTTTAGAAAAGTAAACACAGGGCATTTGAAAAATTGCTTTGCAGATGAACAGCATTTAATTTTCCATTAGTCATACTATTTAACAGCCATATCAAATGTTTGGTTATTGAAGGCCCAAGTATAATGACTTATTTAGTTCAGTAGTAAAGATTTTAATGAAGCACATCAGATTTATTTCATAATCAAAAATTATTATAGTAGAAAATTGAGAAAATTAAGAAAGTAAAATAAATTAGAAAACTTTTCTGATATCACCACTTTGAAAATATCCACTGTTGAAATGATACAGTATATTTTATCGTTCACGTTTCTTTTTTTTTTTTTTTTTTTTCTTTTTTTTTGGGTCCGATCGTGGGGCCTGAACTCTGGGTGTGAGCACTGTCCCTCAGCTCTTCAGCTCAAGGCTAGCGCTCTACCACTTGAGCCACAGCGCCACTTCCAGCTTTTTTCTTATTGCTTATGTGGTGCTGAGGAATCGAACCCAGGGCCTCAGGCATGCAAGGCAAGCACTCTACCACTGAGCCACCTTCCCATCGTTCACATTTCTTATAGACATCAATAACTAAACACTTTTTGAAGACTAATATAACCAATATTAAGCACTTGATTTTCAAATTCTGATGCAAATTATGTCCATAAACTGAACCTAATAACAAGATACACACAACTTACCTTTTGCATTTTTCAATAATCTCACTTATTGTTAGTACGGAGACTTGCCACACTTTGTTTCTGGTAGATGGCTTTGGTTCATATTGAGGAATGTTTTATTTTTAAGCTGCAAGTTCTGAGTTTAATGCTTAACAATTAATGAAAATGAAAAGTCCCAGTCTTGTTTACAGATAGCATCTTTTTATTGTAGCTTATCTAGTACTGGTTTGAAGATTAATTCCATATTTCATCTTTGCCTCTTATCTAGTGATTTCCTAGTACCGGACTACTTAAACCAAGAACAAGAAGAGAGCCTTGTTCAGTATGATCTTGGAGAACACAGTTTTGAAAGCAACTCCTCTGTTCAGATGCCTGTAATTTCACAGGTCTCCTCAACCCAGAATTGTGAAAGCACTTTCCCTCTGGGGTCTATTGGTGGGCTGGCAGAAAAAGAGGAAGAAGTGCCAGGGCAACCAAAGACCAGTGCTTGTGCTGAGGCTTCCAGAGATGATCCCCCAAAATCAGAGCTGTCATCTATAACTATTGAGTAATTTGTAATTTGGTTTCAGTTTTGGTTTTTGGAAAGTGCCTGTGCTTGGTCTTGTATATTTAAATTTAATTTAATTTTTTAAATATGAAAGGGTTTTGGAAAGAGTTTCCCTTTTCACTTTGTAAGCCCTAGAACTGATGTTTTATTTTTCATAACTGAGAAATTGCTTCTTGTAAGTACACCACATGATGTTAAAACAATAGAAACTAGACTTGAGGAAGAATGTGTTGACTTAAAACATACACCAGTTTTTCCTTCTGTTGTTAAAAGTATTAACAACAGATCAGCAGGTAAAGAAATCTGATGGTTTTTGGTCTTCTGGAGGTTAAAGGCACATGAGAAACCAATTATCACACAAAATTTGATACCTTACCTAGGTAGATGTTTACTGCTATATGCAGGATGTTGTAAAAAGCCTATTTGGGGAGTATTAATGGAAAGCTTTCTTTAAAATTAAGTTAAATATTCTACAATCTTTTTTTTAAAGCATTTGTCATTTTGATTATGATTTTTATAGCAAAAAAAATGATAGTGGACAGGCATTCCCTTTATAGTACCACTCCAAAGGCAAAGAACCATGATTGAAAAGAGTCAGATTGTGGATTGAATGGCCCAGGAGTACAAAATGAAGACTGTAAATCCCAGCTTCACAGGAACCCCTTTAATACTGCTTTTTCTACTAAAGTTGATGTTTACCTGGTCTTTGAATGTTAATGCCTGGCTAACCTAACTTCCCTTTACCCCTATCAGCTATACTTTCTCTTGATACCATATAAAGGAAAGCTGTGGGACATAGTCTATATTTTATATACTTAGAGGTTTATGTACTATTGGGGATGTTTTTTCTGTGCTGTTTTGGACAAAATAAAGACTTCTGTGTTGAGGCCACATTCTTAAACCAAGTAAGATTGTTTACAAAATCCTATAAAACAGTAAGCGATACATTATCCTTGTTCTTAAATATTGTTACACATTGCCAAACTTATTAAGAGCAGTTATTACAGTTTTTACAGAATGTGAGCAATAATATAAAACATGAAAATAGACTCTAAAATCATTTTTGACCCACAAATCAAAGAAGAGGAAATTAAAACTAACAAAAACTACAATCCTTAAATTAATGAATATTATCCTTTTTTGCTGCTAGAAAGATGTTATATGATGGTCTAGACTGGAGTATACTTTTCTTCTGGTGCCATCAAAGCTGCTTTGATTCTGATCTAAAATATTTATGAGTCCATGAAAAACGTTTGATTAATTTTTTTTCTATATATAAAATACCTGTTTTGGCTGGGTGCCAGTGGTTCATGCCTATAATCCTAGCCTTTCAGGAGGCTGAGAATTGTGGTTTGAAGCCCCTCAGGCAGGTGAGTTCATGACACTCTTACTTCCCAGTGCATTACCAAAAAAGCTGGAAGTAGAACTGTGGCTCAAATGGTAAAATGGCTAGCCTTGAACTTAAAAAAAATTAATTAAGGACAGGGCTCAGGCCCTGAGTTCAAGCCCCAGCACCAAAACAAAAGCCTGTTTAAATTTTTGAATGTACTCAATTGGATTAGAAAAAAACCAGTTGAGTTTTTATTGAGGCAGGGTCACCTTGTGTAGTCCAATCCTTCTCTTGGCTTTCCAAATGCTTGGGTTACAAGCATATACCACCACTCAATATACAATTCTTTACTCAAATACAAGGTCTAAATTTTATTCAGGGGCCTGAACTCTGGGCCTGGGCGCTGTCCCTCAGCTCTTCAGCTCAAGGCTAGCACTCTACCACTTGAGCCACAGTGCCACTTCCGGCTTTTTTCTTTTTGCTTATGTGATGCTGAGGAATCGGACCCAGGGCCTCAGGCATGCAAGGCAAGCGCTCTACCACTGAGCCACCTTCCCAGCCCAGTAATTTAATTTTTAAGTAGATAATTTTATAATTTATTCCACCTACCCAAAGTAAACTCTAGAATATTTTAGAATAAGTTTTTTTTTTCTATCTTTGTCCATATTCTGCTGTTTTTAACTTACTCCAACTTCCTTCCTGGTACCAAGGATTGAACCTGAGACCTTGTACATGCTACACACACACACTGCCACTGAGCTACACCGCCACGCCACCCCCCCCCTCCCAGGCCCTTATTTCCAGTTCTTACTATCCTGTTTTAATCATAATTTGCTCCCAAACATAAGTGTAGAATCTTCACAAAAATCAGCATATATAGGTAAAGATGGACCTCTATCACTTATGGCTCCTTGACTGCAATATTTTCTCATGGTCCTATTTGTTTCACCTTGGAAAGGTTAAGAATTTCTTTTTTTGTTAATCGTCTTTGAAAACTATGCTGGTTAGGCACACTTAAGGTACTGAGTTCAATTCCCAGTAAAAAGAAAGCTTTCAATTCTTACTAATTGCTTTTAAAACTCTTTTTTTTTAATAGCAAAACCAAGATTTGATTTTGACCAGAAAATCATTGCCCTTCCAAATGTTTTTTGGGTTTGGTTTATTGTTGTGTGTGTGCGTGCATGTGTGTGTATGTGTGTGTTTGTGCATGCATGCTGATACTAATGTTTCAACTCAAGACCTCTCCACTCTTTTGAGCCACACCTTTAGAGTCTCACAGATTTGTCTGCCTAGGTTGGCTTGGCTGGCTTCAATCCTTTTATCTTCAGATCATCCTCCTTGAGTAGCTAGGATTTATAGGTGAGCCACTAGCACCTGGCCTTTCTTTTTCTTTTTCTTTTTTCCTTAGAGGAAGAATAAAGGAAAAAGAGATAAAATATTTAAATCATTTACCAATTTGTTGGAAATTGTTTCAGTATTTACCAGTTCATGGTGGGAATTATTTCAGTGTATCCTCTATCTAAAATTCTATATTGAGAGCACTGTTCTGGGCTGGGGGCATGACTTGAGTGGTAGGTTGTCTAGCAAACTTGAGGCCCCAAATTCAGTATATACACACGCGTGCACGCGCACATACACACACACACACACACACACAAAGAAAAAATGAAAAGGAGGAGGAGAGGAGCCTGGTATTCCTGGCAGCTCTTAAGAGATTTTGTGTTCTCCAAATAAAGGACAGTCTTCGCTGGGTATTCTTTCCCAGATAAAAACTTTAGATTTTTATTGATTATTACAAATTGTGTAGATTTTTTTAAGTTTTATGGGAAAACTGAATGTACTGTGAAAACAGCTGGTTAGTTGTGTACTACCCAAACCTCATTAATACAGGTAACTGGACAAGTGTTTTAATGTAGAAAGAAAGGCTTCTTGTCTTTCACCGAAGTTCCATTTTTCTTGCTACGTGCTTTAAGGATGTTTCATATATAGATCTGTTTTAGGAAATAAACCTTCAAGGGATAATACACATATTATATACTTAGATTTATTTAAAATTCACTTAAGAGGGGAATGCCCAGACATAAAGTTGTTAGCAGAACATACGGAAAATACTGCAGAGGTGAATGCCAGTTTTATTATGCCATCTGCAGAAATTACCAATATAACTAAACAATGTTCCGGTGTAGAATATTTAAGGACAGCTACCTTTCTTAAGGCCCAAGGGTAATTTTGTGATATTTAAAGGGCTTCGATTTTAGAATGCAGGATAAATTGCCTTTTTAAAACCAAACATTTTCTATAAGGAAAACTTTTATTTTCTATATTTTTAACTACTAAGTATGTATGACATAACGTTAGAAGTAAACTAAGGATAAGTACCCATGATGCTAGATATGTAGCTCTGGTTGTTTATTCCTAAAGATGGAACCATCTGGCATGTCAGTGATTGTACCAACTCAGAGACAAAATTGACATGAGTTTTTCTTCTGCCTTTTACGTTTTCCTGTAAATGGATGTAGGTGAAGTTATTGACCATGTATATATTTCAGTGAATTGGAGTTTCAAGTAATCTTCACTTTTATCTCAAGTAATTTTACATTTAGCTATGTTGCCAGTTACTTTTAAGTTTGAAACACTAGTGAAATAAAATAGCTAGAATGTTTAAATAACATCATTCAGTCTTACATTTTGAGTTTTCAGGTTCCATGTGTTACAACATATATCCTTTGGTATTAAAATTTTTTTATTCAAATAGCTTATCAGAAGGAATGGAATTGTTAATGCATCTGATTATGGACTTAATTATTGGCATCCTAGTCGTCTTCTAATTGTGGAACCAGGCTCTCCCAGGATATAAAGGGTCCCATGGGAGCCTTTGGAAGCTGCTTTAAATCCTTCTTTTATTTTTGACTGTTCTTGTTTTATTCTCAGTCTAAGTAGATGCCAGTTATCTGGTTTAGTGGCATTTATTTAGAAGATTCTCAGATTGTATTTTGGAGGCTTAGCTTTATGGTCTCAAAAAGATTACTGTATAATATAATGGCAGTTCTCTACTGTATGCCATACAGAGAACATTACTCTGATGAATGAGTAATCCTGAAATTTGCATATTACCACTGAAAGATTAACATTTGTGGCACCAATGGACAAGAGAATTAGAAACTCATGTTTCACTCGTCTGTAAAATGAAGTTGTAAGTCTGAAATTCACATCCAAGAATGAATAATTTTGTAGTTATTGATACTAAGTGGGGTAAAAAACAATTCACATTACAAAGACACAAACCCAAAGTTGCCAAAAGGGAATTTGGTTTTCAGTGTAAGTTACTGCATAGATGCTTTATCATATTGAGATCTTGAAAGTGGTTAAGAAAAGGATATATAGGAATTGAAATTCTCTCCTTAAGCAGTGCAACACAGTTGATGTTACTGTGGAAAATCACTCAAGAAATATTTAGGGCTAAATATACTCTTACAGACTTTATGCTAAAATTCTCAAAGTTTATTCTTTATTTTGTTTATGTTTTGTTTTATTGTCCAGTGTCATATTTGTTCAACATATGTGTGCTGATACATAGGATATTTTTATTTGAAAATTATTACTATCCAAAATAAAACTGATGGTTTAATTTGAAGTAGAATTGACCCAGTCCTCACATCCAACTAAAACAGGGAGAGCTTTCTGAATGTTTCACTGTAGATTACATACACATAGGTTGAGATTTCTGCCATTGTGTTTATGAAGCGTTAAACTCCTAGGGGATGGAGACATAGAGACTACAAGGAGTCAAAGTTTTAAAAACTTTGAAAACTATACAATTGGATTTTCCCCAAGTCAAAATGGTTCTTTCTTTTTTCTTTTTTTTTTTTTTACATAGTTGCATTTTTCTTAAAATGGTCTTGAGGGATTCAGAGGGTGTTACTAGGATTTCATTTTTGGCCATATCTGAAAAATAAAGCTGCCCTTTGTGTCTGTAGTGAAGCCGCCTCCATATAGGACCCAGACCAGTTCCTGCCAACACAGTGTACATAGTCACTTGCAAAAAAAGAAGACAGTTCAGACCATGGATTGAAAACAAAAACCTTTAAGGAAATTTAAAGTGCTATTTTTATTTGGGTTCAAAGCGACTAGTTATATTTATTTCCTTTCTCTTTTAATCTTGCTGATGAAGTCTCAAGTCCTGGGCTCAGTTGTGATTATCGACAAAATCACTGCTTAGTCATTTGAGGAGCTACAGTGTCATGACTTTGATTAAACTTTCCTTCGTTCCCCAAATGCCATTCCAACCGTATCCAGATTTTATTAAACAAGTTGAAAACGGTCCTGTGAATGAATGTTGAGCTTACCAAAGTGCATCACCTGCTGAGGAAGATGAGTCTTCCCTGCGCTAGGAGAAAGCTGATCACCGGCGCCTCCAAGTGCCACACCATTTTGGTGTCGGCCAAGGATGTTCATGTCACCATGGGAAGCTTTCCATGCCCTGCTCAGAAACATGCCTGCTTTCTAGAGAGAGCCTTTTCTAAGATGGAGTGCTTTCTGTCAGGTATCAATTTAATTTTCAGTTGACAGATGGTTTGTAAGTCTCTCATAGTGAGAGTAGTCCATTGAATTGTTGAAAGTTGCACTGTTTTTCTTTCAGGTCCCTGAAATGAAAGACATCAGGTACTTGGAAGAAGTGAGATCTAAACGTTATCTTGTATAAAGTGATGGCTTCTAATGCTTATATTTCAGTATTTGTTTTGTTTTAAATCTCTAGTAGAGTAAAATTTGATTTGAACACATATTCCCAGTAATATATTTCCTTTTCCTATTGCTGGTGCCTCCTGTTGCATCAGCTAGAGATTGCCTGCCTCTTTGAAGGGCACCCTTGTGGCACCTTATGTTCAAATTGGAGGATAGTGTGGCTTCTTTGTGCCTCTACTATCTTTTCAAAAGCCATTTTATAAAAAATCCTAGGTAGCCTATTTTAATATTTAAATATATATATATTTGTGAAAGATACTTTTAGAACTGATTTTTTTTTTAACTTTAAAATTACTGTATTCCCATTTTTAAGAGTAAACTTAAGCTTTTCCAGGACTAGGAAAGTATCTTTTTTCCTAAGCAGCAAAATGAGAAAGTCAGATTGAGTTAATAGATAAGAAAACTCAGTGGGAGAATAAATTAATGTTTAGTTAGGAGGGACAGACTTGAAGGGGAAAGCTGTTCTGATGTTAACAATTCTAAAATTGTGGTTTTGTTTCTATAGTGTCGTATTTGCTGCTATAGTAGCTCAATATTTTACAGGGCTAATGTATAAATCTGGCTCCATTTAGACACTGGAGTTCTTCCTAGTGTAAGAAGCCTAGGAGACTCTGCACCACAGTCTTCCAGATGGCGACTGATGGTTTTGTACTGATGCATGCTTTAATACTTGCCTGTAGTGTGGCAGCAAGAAGTCTGGGGAAGTGCATTGCCCTAATGACTACAGCATTATGATTCTTTTGGGCACTGGCATCATGTGAAACCCTCAAGAGAAGTTAGTGCTGGGGAGAAAAATGTGAATTAAGTTACATGAGTGGGTGTTTTTATTCTTCTGCCCCCTCCTAGGACCAGAGCAACTCCTCTACTGTGCCAGTCCCCGGCTCACCAGCTTTGTACCAGTCGTCATCTCATCCTAGTATGGCTTAACTTGGTGACAGTGGCCATAGCTGTGTTACTTGGCATGTTTGACTTCTGACAATAACAAAAGTGGTCTTGGATTTTGTTTGGTATTACTTCCTAAAATGTATACAGTGTCAGAACTTCACATTTTATATATTAGTATCTGACTATTAGTATCTTACAGAATCATAGTTCTTGGTGACTACACACACACACATATATTTTTGTGACTTTTTGTAAACTAAGTGCCGTTTTAATGTTACAATCATTTTTAGCGTTATGTAATCAATGTGAATATCATGTTTTTTCAAATCTGTTCTGAGCCTATAGTGTTTGCTTTGTGAACATGTGTATTGTATATATTCTGTATAATTACACTGTACTGAAATACTAGCTTGTTTGATATAAGGAAAGTATGTATTGAGTACCTTTTTTGCTAGCCTGATTGTTTAATCTTTTTTAAAAAAGGTTTAAACTTTTTTTAAAAAATCTTTAAGCTGGCCTTTATTACATGGTCACAAAGTTGCAGTTGAAAGGATGGACAGGGAAAAATTGGTTTTGAGTGTCTTTGATGAGACTAAGATTTGTTTCTGTTTTTTTTCTCATTAAAATATGTTATTAATGCTTTATGAAATAAGAGCTCCTGCTGTTATTATTTATAGTTGGTGGGAAGGAAGAAATAGAATGTTGTTTCAGTGCATGCAGGCTAGGTATTGGACAGCTCCTGTCAGCTTCTTGGTCAAGTAAGAAAAGTGTTGGAAATGCATATTGCCTCATGCCAGACAATGAGAGAGAGAGAGACTTGTCAGGTTCCCCTGACAAGGTAAAGCCTGGGTTGGTTTTTGGGTTGCTTCTTTTGACATTGCTTTTATACTTTTTTTTTCTGAAGTCACTTCGCCTGTAATACTGACTAAAAGAGGCCCAGCATTGTCAGGAGCAAGAAGAGGCATACACAGGAAGCAGCTCCTACACAGCCCCCTTTGTGGCTTTTGAACTTCAGATTCATCTCACTTTTACTAACCTCAAGCAACAAGGAGCATTTTGGTCCATTAAGTTCAGGGAAGAAAGTAAATTTTAAAAGCACTCTTTTATTCAGTCTCAGAGAAAAATGTATTGGAACATTTTTAACAAGTTTACCAAGCCATTCAAGGTTAGCAAGCTATTTGATACCTTTGCCACAGATGATAGTGCAGAAGGTATAAAGCTTTATAAATAAGTGTTGAGCCAGCTGTTGGTAGCTCACACCTGTAATCCTATCTACTCTGGCTGAGATCTGAGGATCACAGTTCAAAGCCAGCCCAGGCAGGAAAATCCTTGAGACTTGTCTCCAGTTTACCACCAGACAACCAGAAGTGGAGCTGTGGCTCAAAGTGGTAGAGCACTAGCCTTGAGCAAAAGAAGCTCAGGGATAACATCTAGGCCCTGAGTTCCAGCCCCACAACCAACACCCCCCACCCAAAAAAAAAAATTGTGGGGCTGGGAAGGTAGCTCAGTGGTAGAGCGCTTGCCTTGCACGCATGAGGCCCTGGGTTCGATTCCTCAGCACCACATAAGCAAAAAGAAAAAAGCCGGAAGTGGTGCTGTGGCCCAAGTGGTAAAGCACTAGCCTTGAGTGAAGAGCTGAGGGACAGCGCCCAGGCCCAGAGTTCAGGCCCCACGACCGGATCCAAAAAAATTGTATGACTGAATATATAACACGTGGTACCTTGCTTGCCTAGCAGCTTAAAGGCTCTGAGTTCAAATCTTCATGCTACCAAAAATGATTTCAAATTGTAAAGTGCATAAAATTATGTACCAGAAGGATTCCAAGATTAATACTAAAAGTAACAACTGAAGTGTGTCCCAGAGTTGAAATTAATAATAGGGCTCTTGCTCCTTTGAACAGCAAAATTCTAAAAACTAAACTGAGAAACTTAGCAAAATTGAATCTGTAAACTGCCAGACCTGGTGGCTCGTGCTTGCGATCCCTAGCTGTTCACAAAATCACACAGGTAGAGAGGATTGAATGGGAGGATTGAGGTCCCAGGTCGGCCTGGGCACACAGAGTGTGAACTCTTATGTGAAAAAGCAGAAAGATTAAGATGTGGACTCAGTGGTGACCTGCATAGCAACCACAAAGCCTTGAATTCAAACCCTGGTACTGCCAAAAAAAATAATAGTAATTTTAAAATGTAGAAGCATGCTACGGTTTAGAGTGGAAAGCATATACATAAGCACCAATCCTTGAAGCTTAATGTGATTTTTTTTAGTATAAGTAAAGTTTTATACATACAGATGGGAAAGCAGATAGTGTATGTTTAATCTGGAAAGGAATTCTTGAGCGAACTCACCTAGAAGCAAATTTTTTTAACAAGAAAGCTTTTGTTGCTGCTGCTGCTCCTTTAAATTCCTACCAGAAATATTTTCTAATTTTCCTATCATAAATACTAAGGTTTTTATACTTTATGAATAAGGAGAGCAAGTCTGGGAACAAGCCAGCACTGCAGGAAGAATAAACCAAAAGGCTGGAACTGAAACTAGGGCCCAAGTGATAGAGTACCAACCTTGAGCTGGTCCTAAGCTAAGGGAACAGCACCTCGATCCTGAATGCAAGCTGCAGTGCTGACACCAAAAAGAGATATTTAAATCTTGAGCCTGGAGGCATGGCTCAGGTGGGTAGATGGCCTGCCTACCTGCCCAGCAAGGCAGATATTCTTGAGTTCAGTCTCCAGTGCTGCAACAAGAACAAAAATCTCTGTACATTGAATACCCACCCCAAAGCCTCCTGTTCCAGGACTGCTGGCTGAGTATACATTCTGACTGCCCCATAATGCACACATGCAGCTGCGCCTCCCAGACATGGACTCTGCACTCAAAGAATGAAGTAACTTGACTTCCCAAGAATTCCTCAACAGGTGAAATGCACAGAACTTCCCTGGAAAAGATCTTCAAAGGGGAGATTGAAGCAGGAAGCAGTGTGCATCTGCATGGGGAAACTAAGGACCAATTGCTCCTAGTGCTTCACACTTGGTGAGCACTAGTCCACAGTTTCTCTACAGATCTGGACATAGGTGTGGCTAATAATTGCAATCCAGGACAAATGCTGGTGGTTCATGCCTGTAAAGGATCGAAATTCAAAGCCAGCCTGGGCAAGAAAGTCCATGAGACTCACATCCAATTAGTCACCAGAAAACCGGTAACATGCTGTGGCTCAAAGTGGTAGAGCATTATTCTTTAAAAAGCTCAGAGAGGGGGCTGGGAAGGTGGTTCAGTGGTAGAGCACTTGCCTTGCATGCATGAGGCCCTGGGTTCGATTCCTCAGCACCATATAAGCAAAAAGAAAAAGCCGGAAGTGGCACTGTGGTTCAAGTGGTAGAGAGCTAGCCTTGAGCTGAAGAGCTGAGGGGCAGCGCCCAGGCCCAGAGTTCAGGCCCCACAACTGAACCCAAAAAATAATAAAAAGCTAAGAGACAGTGCCCAGGGGCTGAGTTCAAGCCCCTGACTGACATAAAATAAATTTTGAAAAATACGATTCACTGTCTCCGGATATGCAACTATGCACGTATGCACACTCAAACATACCTAATACTCGCCCCCAGAGCTGAGGGAAGGGGAGGTATCCCTGGGTAAGGATCTCTCCCTGTGGTCCTAGAGTGCTACCATAGACATTAGTCATGTCCACCCAAGTGCCTACTCCTAGACTGCTGCAAGACCCTAGTGAGATTACAGAGCCCTGAGCCTCCAGCCCTGGTGCTCTTGAGACCAAAGGCCTTTCCAAGTCCAGTAAGAATGTCTGCCTCAAAAACTAAAAGTGGACCCCAGCCTATCACCATGCACCATCAACAACTCAAAATGGATTAAAGACTTTAACATCAAACCTGAATCTGCAACTACTGCAGGACAGAGTAGGAGAGACACTTGAACTTATAGGCACAGGCAGGACTTTCCTTGAACAGAGTCCCAGGGTCACAACGAATTGGAAAAAGACTCAAAAAATGGGACTAAAAGTTTCTGCACAGCTAAAGCTCTAGCAACCAAGCTAGAAAGACAACCAACTAATTGGGGGAAAAATATTTACTAGCAATATATCAGACAAGGGGTTAATACCCAGTATATACAGGGAACTCAAGAAACTCATCCCTCCAAACCTAACAAACAAATTACTAAATGGGCAAGGGAACTAAAGAGAGACTTCGCAGATGAAGAAATAAAAATGGCAAAGAAACATGGGGAAATGTTCACCATCCCTGGTGGTGAAGGAAATGCAAATAAAGACAACCCTGAGATGCCACCTTACCCCAGTCAGAATGTCCCACATCCACAAGTCAGCCAACCACAAATTCTGGAGGGGATGCGGAGAAAGAGGAACCCTATTACACTGCTGGTGTACACTTATACATCCACTTTGGAAAGCAGTCTGGAGGGTCCTCAGAAAGCTAAATATTGACCTCCCCTAAGACCCAGCCATACCATTTCTAGGCATCTTATCCTGAACAAGGAACCAGGATACAAGGACACATGCACCTCCATGTTTATTGCAGCACTGTTCACAATAGCTAGGATATGGAAACAACCCAGATGTCCCACCACAGATGAATGGATCCAAAAATTGTGGTATCTATACACAATGGAATATTATGCAGCCATTAGAAAGGACAAAATAATGGCATTTGTAGGGAAATGGATGGAGCTAGAAGTCATGTTGAGTGAGGTAAGCCAAGAGCAGAGAGACAGACAGCACATGGTCTCCCTGATAAGTGGATGTTAAATCCAAAACCTAAGGTGATAATGACAAAATTAACAAGACTTAAGAAACAAAGGGGACTTCCACTCATCTAGTCAAATCACCACTAAATAACCCCATGCTGCTGATCACATGTACGGTATATATGTGTACACCGAAGGGAAACCAGGAGGACAACACAGAACTAGAGGGAATCAGGGGAAAACACAACAGTGGGACCCATCAGCTGCACTGGACTTTGATCAAAATGAACTAAGCAACTCAATGGCAGCGATGGGAAGGAGGGAACAAGGTGGGAAAGAGGGAACAGCTGATGCTATGCAAAAAAAAAAAAATGTACATATCACCCAATGTGGAAGAAATAACTATTGTCAAAACTCATAGAACTCATGAATGTTACAGACTATGATAGACAATTTGCCCCATGAAAGTTAGAATGTGTTTGTGACTTTAACTGAGCATCACTATCCCACAATACTGTGAAATTTGGGGAATTTATGTAATCACTTAATCACAATAAAGAATTTGAAGAAGAAAAAATATGCCTGCCTCTGCTGCTGTTACCCTCAAGCCTGTAAGCCCAGCACTGCAGCTCCTGTGTACTTCTGTTCACAAGCACTGAGGCAGGAGGTGGTCCCTTAATCTGCTGATTGTCTCTCCACTGAGCCCTGCAGTGACAGTTCTGGCTCTGCAATGCATCCGTGGGTTCTGCAGCTCCTGCCACCTCAATGTCACGTGGGAATGAGGCACAGGGCTGCCAACTGAGCCCTCAGTCCTCTGGCCATGGCACCCAGAGAGGTGCCCCATAAGCAGATTTAAGAAGACTGTATTGGCTCAGGTGCTAGTGGCTCTCGCCTATAATCCTAACTACCTGGGAGGCTGAGATTTGGGGATGCCAGCTCAAGAAAGTT